GGAGGGACTAGTCCCTGGAAAAGAACCCACTGGTGTTTAATTCTGTTGTGCGAGGGGACACTATGAGTCAGAACTGAATCAACGGCATCTAACAACAACAATAACATCTTTTGCATGTTATAGTTCTTTCTACCTAGAACAGGTTCCTTCTAGCTTTCCTAACAAACTCCTGTTGTTGTTAGGTGCTACTGAGTTGGTTTCAACTCATAGCGATCTTATGCACAACAGAATGAAACACATCCAGTTCTGCACCATCCTCACAATTGTTGTTAAACTTGAGCCCATTGCTGCTGCCACTGTGCCAGTCCATCTCATTGGGGGGGTCTTCCTCTCTTTTGCTGACCCTCCACTTTACCTAGCATAATGTCCTTCTCCTGGAACTGGTCTCTCCTGATAATATATCTTAAGTATGAGAGATGAAGTCTGGCCATCCTGGCTTCGAAGGAGCACTCTGGCTATACTTCCTCCAACACAGATTTGTTTGTTCTTCTGGCAATCCATGGTACTTTCAATATTCTCCTCCAACACCATAATTCAAACACATCAACTCTTCTACGGTCTTCCTTATTCACTCATGTGAATATTAAAGTCCAACTACAGTACTCTTCCTTATCTATTGTTTAGCTCTCCTAAGTTTCAGTCACCCTTGATCAACCACAACCCAAAAACACTCAATGAAAAATTGCAGGGAAAAAAAAAAGCATTAAGTTTTAAAGTGCACGCCATTCTGAATAGTGGGTAGGAATCGCACCCTACTCCATTCTGTCCTGCCAGGGTTGTGAGTCATCGCTTTGTCCATGGTAACCATGCTGTATATGCTACCTGTCCTTGAGTCACTTAGCCCTCTTGGTTATGAGATCAATTGTAGCAGCACTGCAGTGCTTCTGTTCAAATAACCCATATTTTACATGATAAGTGCTATATTAGTAATTGTTGTTAGTATCTCACTGTGGCTTATTTATAAATTAACCATCAGAAGTCTCTATGTATAAAACAACAACAACAACAAAGTCTATATAGAGTATTGGAGTTGTGGTGTGGCACTGTGGGCTAATGTACTGGACTGCAAAGTTGGTGTGAATCACAAGGTTGGCAGTTCAAGAGCACTGGTTGCTCATCTGAAACCCCACACAGGGTTGCTATGGGTTGGAATAAACTCAACAGCACTTAACAACAACATACAAGGTAGTGGGAGTCCTGATGTGGCACTGTAGGATAAGCCCTGGTTAAAATGTCAGTGATTCAAACCCACCAGCTACTTCTTGAAAACTGTATAAAAGGTCACGAGTTAGAACCAACTCCATGGCAAACAACAACAATATGCGGTATTCACAGCTTCAGCATTTGGTGAGGTTCCTCGGAGTCCCGGTGTGGGGCTGTAAGATAAGTACCAGAATACTAACTACAAGGTCAGAGGTTCAAACCCACCAACCAAATCTTCATGTTACAAATAGAAATTGGCATCCACAAAGCCTGAGCAATTATGTGGCTACAAAGGTAAGCCATGACTGTTAAAATATCAAGCGAGCTGTTTGCTTAAGAGCCATTAAGGCAAGAAAAGCCATTAGGGTAAACCCTCTCTAAGACTGAAACTAAAAAGGAATACACAAGCAGTCTTGTATGCCCACTTATAACAACCCTGATCTACTTGTGAGTGGAAATGGGGGAAATGTAGCAACTAAGGTATGGGCTGAGTTTGGCTATGTTCCATAGCAACTCGTTGACCTTGAGATGAAAGAGAGAAGAGTTCTGAAGTTTAGGGAGACGTGTGAACTCCTGAGCCCATGGACACTGAACTAGCTACTGGGGGGCTAGTATTGAGACTGTAGTGGCCAGCTCGTCTGAAATTGGGAAAGGCATGAGAAAACTCCCAAACTTGTAGCTAGTACCCATTTGACCTAGCTTGGATCGCAAGCTGACCAGAACTCAACCAGATGAAGATAAAGAAGTCTGATACAGGGAGCAAGTATAAATTGCTACAGTTTGATGAACTGGACCTTTGTTTCTAGATGTGGTGGTGGTGGTTTGTGCTGTGGAGTCAGTTCCAACTCATAGCGACACCGTACAGGGTTTCCGAGGCTGTAAATCTTTACAGGAGCAGAAAGCCTCATCTTTCTCCCGTGGAGGAGCTGGTAGTTTTGAACTGCTGACCTTGAGGTTAGCAGCCAAATTCGTAACCACTACGCTACCAGAGCTCATTCTGGTGTAGTTGCTCTAAATTCCAACTGAAAGAAAAGGTTTCTTCATATTAAGGATCAAGGTTGCTTGCTCAGTACTGTGGGTTGATAGGGACCAGCAACTTAGGCATTGGCTATCAAAAATGAAGGGCTATAAAAGCACTGGATTACAAAGTTGGTTTGAACCACAGGGTCAGCAGTTCCACCTCACCATCAGCTGCTCCTCAGAAACCCTATATAGGGTCACTATGGGTTGGAACCAACTCAATGGCACTTAGCAACAACATCACAAAGGCACGAAGTGGCTGGCTTACAAGATTTCATGAGTATGCTTAGTTTCAGAATGACGGGGGTAAGCTAGAATCCCTACTGAACAGTTTTCCTCTTGTCCAAATGGGCCTGGTGAAAGGGAATGGGGGAATGACAGGGACAGGAGTTTATGACTCAATTGTAACTGATATTAGAACTAATTACAATTGTCACAACTGTAAATGTAGAAGATGTATAACTAAAAGGAAGAATAGTTAATCTTTTCTTGCATGAGCAGAAGATTTAGGGCCTCAAGAGGGACAAGCATGAGTGGATAGTGGGACCTTCACCAGAAAAGCAGCCACAACAGAGATGGTGGCAGTATCAGTGGTATTGAAAGATTAAGGACTCTAGGCCCATAGAAAAAGAACGTGTGCCCGTGGACAGGAGACTGGTTTGCAAAGTATGCCTTTTGGACATTTAAACAAATACATATTTTCTGTGTTGTATGTGTACATCAACAACAAAAGAAGGAATAGAGGTAAATACTGTTAATTAATGGTACCTGGAGGGGATTGTAATCATTGCAGTGAGACAAAATATGACTTGTTGAATGCAAAACTGATGCTCTGCCCTGTAAACTTTCACTCAATTCACAATAAAAGCTTAAAAAAAATTTTAAAAGTCGGCCATGAGTGTCTTTCATTATTTCATGAATTTTCCCTTTACATCTTTCATTCCCTTCTAGTCAGATTAAATGAAGCCTGAAAAGAATGATAAGCAGCAGTGATAAAATAGGGAACTGAGAAAATGGAACAGGACAGGGTATTTACTTTTTAACACATTTTAAAATACTGCTTTCCAAATTTATGTAACAAGGATAGAAAATCCAAATTACTGAAAAGTAATTTATTGAATTTGTGAATAATACACTTCCATCCACAACAAGTCCTGGTGTGGTGCTGTGGGGAAAATGTGCTAGACTGCAAAGTCGGTTTGCAACCACAAAGTTGGTGATTCAAGCTCACCAGCTGCTCTTCAGAAACCCTGTACAGGGTTACTGTGGGTCGAACCACTAAATAGCACTTAACAACAACATCCATAAGGGGTTAAATTGTGCCCATTCCCACCCAATCACATAACATTAATTCTTATCTGTGCTAACTAATATGTGTGTGTGTGTGTGTAAGGAGCCCTGCTCTGGTAGCGTAGTGGTTACGAATCAGGTTGTGAACCTCAGGGTTCTAGCAGTTCCACGGAAGAAAGAAGAGGCTTTCTGCTCCCGTAAAGATTTACAGCCTCGGAAATTCTGTACAGGGTCGCTATGAGTCAGAACCAACTCCACGGCACACAACAACAAAAAGAACAACATATATATATATATGTGTGTATATATGTATATATATATATATATGTGTGTGTGTATGTATATATATATGTGTGTGTGTATGTATATATATATGCATAAATGTGTGCATGTAAAAATGTATGTGCATGTACTTATAATTATGAAAAACAGTAGTGTTTTGATCATAGGATCATAGTTCATAGATTAAATAACTAAAGCCATTTCACAGTCTTCAGGACTTTTTTAAGTCCAAGAATACAATACCCACATTGTTGTTGTTGTTAAGAGCCGTCGAGTCGATTCCGACCCATAGTGACCCTATTTAGGGTTTCCAAGGAGCAGCTGGTGAGCTTGAACCGCCGACCTTGCAATTCAAACGGCTTTGCAGTCTGACGCATTAACCCACAGCGCCACACCAATACCCACATTAGCAGCAACAAATTGATATTGTCATAAACAATTATTGATAAATTAAGTCCCGGTCTTAAATGCAAAATGTTGTTAGCTGAATTAAAAAAAAAAAATCAAACTATTTTAACTAATAAAATATTTTGTTAAAAATATTGCCTAAATCAATCTCTTTAAAACGTCTAGCTTTTTCTCTTCAGAAGACATCATCACATCACCATCTCTCTGACTCAGAACAGGTTTTACAACTTTTTGTCCCTTTGGACTTGCCACTTCTAGGAGTCTCAGTAACCTGTTGTAGACTAATTACGGACACGTAACCGAAACCTTTTTAGTTTTCTAACATCTAAAAAGAGGATGAAAGATTTAGATAAAGATTTTTGGATACATGTGAAATCAAGAGACCAGAAATCAAAGAGATCGTGGAGGCTCAAAGTGAACAAAATTAAACAACACAAGTCACAGAGTTGACAAGCTCCTAGGCGGACATTTATTCCGGGGTAAAACAGAGATAAAAATGCTTAAAGATGCAAACGGTCCTCAAAAATGACTGTAGGCATCAATAGTTTTTTTCTGCTTGGCTTCGCCAAGATACAACATTTCTTAGTTCCGATTCCTGGCTACTAGTCCCCCACTCAAGCCTCTACCGCATATCCTCGCATTCTAAATACTGAGTTTCTAACCACCCCTTGACTAGGTCACTTCTCTGCGACTCAGAACTCTTCTGTCCACTGAGAGCCCTTCCTCCGCCCGGTCCCCTTCAGTGACCGGACCCGCTTGCTCAGATCCAAGCCACAGCGTAGCTCCATCCTTCTCACCTTGGTTACAGAAGAGGCTCCACAGTTTAGCGAAGATCAGCCCCATCATGAGCACCTGGGCGGGCCGCGAGGTCCCTCAGCAGCAGGTGCCGCCGCACCGGGGCCCCCACCGCGGCGCTAGCTTGAGGAGCCGAAGGAAAGCAGAATGAGAAACCCGAGGCGAGGGCACTAGTTAGAGACGCCTCCACATACGCTCAGCTATCCGTCAGAAGGTGCGGCGCCAAGTCCCTACCGGATAGCCCTTTGTTTCGAGCCCGTTGAGCCTCACGCCGACCCGTAGTCCCCTCGGTCAGAACCCACCTACCCACCAGAGCCGCAACCAGGCCCAAGCCACGCCCCCACTCCTCCTCCCCTCCCGATCCCAGGACCACCCATCGCCGGAAGAACGACTCCTTACGTCGGCGCGCTTACATCAGCACACGCTTTGGACGTGGCGCTTTCTCTGGTTTCACTTCCGGTTGTGGGACGCCTAGTTGATCTGCATAAGTAAGTGGGGTTGGAGTGGCAGGCAAATTTCAGTGATTACTATCTTATTATTGTTCCAAGCCTTCGCGGGCTTCCCTATTTTGAGTCGGCTGTCTGGCAAGTGCATTTCTGGTCTCTAAGCCTCTGAGAAGTAGTTCTGGTAGCGTAGTGGTTACGAATCGGGCTGCTAACTTCAAGGTCGAAACTACCAGCTGTCCCTTGGGAGAAAGATGAGGCTTTCTACTCCCATAAAGATTTGCATCCTCTGAACCCCTGTGCAGGGTCACTATGAGTCGGAACCGACTCCACGGTGCTTAACAACAACAACAACAAGCCTCTAAGGAGTCCTGGAGGGGTTCCATGGGATCCACACTGAACCGGGAACCACAGGGTCGGCAGTTCAAACTCACCAGCTTGTCCTTGGAAACCTATACAGGTTCGATATAAGTAGGAACTGACGTGACAGCACACAGTAACAAGAAGGACATGGGAAACGGAAACATACTGTAGCTTATCCAAGTGAGCAACCACTTTTTGCTGAAAAGAGATAGTCATGTTTCTCTCAAAACAAACATCGGCATTTGGCCAAGATTCTGAATATAATCAATTGTGAGGTGAGCCTTGAAATGCCTGTAGCCTGAGTTAAGCTATGAAATATTGGTGGTGGTGTGCCGTGGAGGCAGTTCCGACTCAGCGATTCTGCATAGGGTTTCCGAGACTGTACATTTTTACGAATTGGGTTGCTAGTCTCATGGTCAGCAGTTGGAAACTACCACCTGTTCCGCGGGTGAAAAATGAAGCTTTCTGATCCCGTAAAGATTTACAGCTTCGGAAACCTGTACAGGGTCGCTATGAGTCAGAACCGACTCCACGTCACATAACAACAACACATCTTTACAGGAGCAGAAAGCCTCATTTTTCTCCCGCGGAACCGCTGGTAGTTTCCTGCCAGCCCGCCTAGTAACCACTATGCTACCAGAGCTCCTCATTAAATATTAAAATTCCTTATGAAATGCTGTCGAGTTGGTTCCAACCCTGTATAGGGTTTCTAAGGAGCATCTGGTGAACTTGAACCAGCGTCCTTGTTCAAACTGACTTTGCAGCCAAGCACACTAGCTATAGTACTACACCAGGACTCCTATGAGATAGTTGTTAAGTACCATGGAGTCAGTTCCGACTTATAGCGACCTGCACAGGGTTTCCGGGGCTTTAAATCTATCTTTACGGGAGCAGAAAGCCTCATCTTTCTCTCCTGTTAGTTTCAAACTGCCGACCTTGAGTTTAGCAGCCCGATTCGTAACCACTAATCTACCAGAGCTCTTTAACCCCCAAATTATGTCAAGCATTAAATATGTCCAAATATACATCTATATAAGCCAGTTTTCGACATCATTGTTTCAATTTCAAGGTTATGTCCTTTTTTTTTTTTTTTTTAAGCGTCAAAGCCTGGGGAGAAAGGAAGCCAAGAGTTTTTTTGAAGCCAGTTTATTTGAATGAGCCAGCTTAACTAAATACTTTAGCAGGCTGTAGGGTTTAAAACTCTCAGTGTTTGATTCATGATGCCCCTCACCCCCAGTGCTACAGTTTGAAGGCTCAGGTGTGAAATAATTTGTTGCAACTTTCTGATGTTAAAAGCAAGTTTTCCAGAGTAATGAGACACGAAAAAGAAATCAAAGGTATTCCAATGATAAAAGAACAAGTAAAATTATCTATATTCACAGAAATCAGACTCTAAAAAATCACAGACTCCACAAGGAAACTTCTAGAGCTAATTTAGTCAGACAGCAAAGTTGCAGCGTACACAGTCAACAAACAAAAATCAGTTGGGTTTCTATACACCAGTCATAAAATCCTATCCTCATTATCCCCTACATCAATCTCAGAATCATTGATAAGCTTCAGCCCATTGCTACTGCTATTGTGCCGATCTATCTAGTTGGGGGTGGGAGGGTCTTCCTCTTTTGGCTGACCTTCCACTTTCCTAAGCATGATGACCTTCTCCAGGAACTGATCCCTCCTGATATGTCTGAAGTACTCTCTACTAGCTTCTAAGGAGCATTCTGGCTATAATTTTTCCAACACAGACTTGTTTGTTCTTCCAACACGGTAACTCAAATGCATCAGTTTTTCTAAGGTCTTTTTTATTCATTGTCCAACTTTCGCATGCGTATGAGATTATTTTAAATAGCATGGTTTGGGACTGGAATGCCTTAGGTTTGATGGTATGTTTGAACTGCTGACCTTGTAGTTAGCAGTCCAGCTCACAATCCACTTTGCTACCAGGGCTTGTTAGAACTATGATTTGTTGTTGTTAAGTGCCCTTGAGTCAGGTACAACTCTTACAAACTTGTATAGGGTTTCTGAACTGCTGGTGGATTTGAACCACGTATCTTGCAGTTCAAACTGACCTTGCAGTCTAGTGCTTACCTACAGTGCCACACCAGAACTCATAGAACTACCAAATAACCCAACAATTGTACTCCTAGTTATATACCTAAAATATTTCATAGCAGAGACTCAAAACAAGACTTGTACACCAATGCATGTTCATTGAAGCACTCTTCACAATAGCCGAAAGGTAGAAACAGCTTAAACAGATGAACAAATAAACAAAATGTAAGTACATACAGTGTAATACTACTCAGCCAGTGGAAATGAAATCTTGATACATGCTACAGTGTGGATGAAGCTTGAAGATATGCTCAGCAAAATAATTCAATCTCAAAGGAACAAATATATATAAAAAATATAAAAGGCAAATGTATAGAGACCAAAATGTAATAATGGTTAGCCAGGGCAAGAGTGAGGGGGTAATTCAGGATTAACAGTGATAGTAAAATCACATTAAGGGTATCGTTGCAAAGCCTATTATTGTAATTTTTTACAACTATAAAAAGTCACATTGGCAAAAGTTGTGTGATCGATGTATACATAACAATGAGTATTCCTAAGACTACATATATACAACCAAACACCTCATGAGATTTGATTCCTTGGTTTCATAGGACATCCCAGTTAATTAACCTAATAATGTGCTTTGTGCTTCTGTTCTGCCTTCTAGTCCATTGTGTAGTGCCTGGGTTCTTAAAAACTGCCAAGTGGTCATCCATGGAGCAACATAGGAAATACAGAATAAGAGAATATGAAATGTGTGGCTAATTGTCTCCATCACCAAGTAGCTCCTTTACCATGAGACCAGAAGTAGATGCTATTACAGAACGTTTTGATCAAAGATTCCACAGAAGAATCCTGATCAAAAGTGGGGAAATGCAGGACAGAATTTAAAATTTTCATTGATTCTAGACTTTCTGGAGCCATCGAAGGTCTATAATCCCTTGAAACTATTGCCCTGACAGAATAATTAAACCTTAAACTAAAAACATACCCTGAAGACTTACAATAAACAACGTTCTTGTTGTTTTTGTTAAGTGGAGTGGGTTCTACAATAGGACTCCACAATGAAAGACAGTAAGCTTAACTAGTTAAAAAAAAAAAAAATGTCTTGGACGTTTTGCTCTTTTAGGAACTATCTGAGCTCTGATAGCGTACTGGTTATGAATCGGGCTGCTAACCCCAGGGTCAGCAGTTCGAAACTACCAGCTGTTCCGCGGGAGAAAGAGGAGGCTTTCTGCTCCCGTAAAGATTTACAGCCTCGGAAACTCTGTACAGGGTCACTGTGAGTTGGAACTGACTCCACGGCACTTAACAATAACATATGGGAGTCCTGGTATGGTGCTGTGGGTTAATGCGCTGGACTGCAAAGTCGGTTTGAGCTGTAAGGTCGGCAGTTCAACCTCAACAGGCGCTCCATCGAAAACCCTATACAGGGTCGTTACGGGTTGAAACCAACTTGAAGGCACTTAACAACAACACATGTGTGGGTGATTCCGCAGGTTTCGGAAACCTTGGGAGACTGACATCACGGCGATTTCCGGCTACGAATAGGGGTAAGGGGGCGGGCGGGGGTTTCCTCCCCAGGTACCGGAAGTGACGAATGCCGGGTAGCTAGGTATGTGAGTTTAGGAAGTGGAAGCTTAATTAAGTTTCCGGGAGAGTCTGTACAGGTTTGGTTTCCTGTGTGTGTCCAATTTACTACGGATTCGCTGCAAAAGCCTTTTCACTCATTCGTTTGTTCGCTTGTTTTCTACAACGTGAGCGGCACTGCCTTACGGTGATTTCCGTGAGCTGGGCTGAAGAAGGACGAAGGATGAGTGTGGTGGTGGAGGCGAGGTAGCGGCTTGTAAACGCGCCAAGCTCTAGAAAGCGTGGATGTGATGACTTCGCATTCCCAAATTAAACTCCGCGGTATCGGCATGTTTTACTGGACCTTCTAGTTGGCCTGACACTTTGTGGTTGGCTGTTCATTTGTCAAGCCACTGCTCGCTCTAGTTTGGGAAGACAAAGCCCACCCACCACCGCCTTCCAGCATTTGTCTTGGCAGAAACAATAGGAAGCATGTCTGTTTTCCCAAAAATATCTCTGAGGCCTGAGGTCGAAGACTATCTCAAAGAGGGCTTTATGAATAAGGAGGTAGGTCAGATAATAAAGATGTTAGACGATGATTCGCAAAAATGCGAATATTTACCTTCTCGGAATTGTTTTTGTCAAGTGCCGTCCAGTCGATTCTGACCCATAGCGACCCTGAATAGGGTTTCCGAGGCGTGGCTGGTGAGCTTGAACAACCGACCTTGCAGTTCAAACGGCTTTGCAGTGTGGCGCATTAACCCACAGCGCCACACCAGGACTTGTATTTTGCCTGTTAGAATGTAAGAAATAACCATTATCTTCATTGCTTGGGAATCTGATATCTTTTGGGTTCTATATTTACAGAGTTGATATTTACACAAGGCAGTGAATTTTTAATGGTAGCTTGAACTCAATTCCGAGGTACCTCTGGATGGGTTTGAACTACCTACCTTTTAGATTAGTGGTCCATCGCTTAAGCATTTGCACCAACCAGAAACTCATATTATCTTTAAAGAGATATTTGATCGATGCATTCTGAGATAAAAGGTGAATGAGGTATAACTTTTAACATTCAGGAACAAAAAACAAGGAAAATACTGCACTGAAGGGCTGCAAAGAAGAGGCCCCTGTCTTGAAAAACTCAAGTTCAGTAAAGAAAATGCATATTTACTTTTAGGGAACTTGTTCTGACACGCAAGTGGAAGGAAGGGATACAATCATTTATTGTTGCTGTTAAGTCGGTTCAGACTCACAAGGACCCTATATGGCACTGTAGGATAAGCACTGAACTTCTAACTGAAAGTTCAGTGATTCTAACCCACCAGCTACTCCTGGGAAATCCTGTATAGGGTTGCTACAGTCAGAGCCTACTGGATGGCACATAACAACAGCGTAGGGTTTCTGAGAAGCAGCTTGTGGGTTTGAACTGCTGACCTTTGGTTACCAGTCCAATGCTTATCCTACAAGGCCATACCAGGCGTGCCTCTTAAATGCTGGCAGTTGGGCTGGGTGATTTGCAGCTCTCTACATCTTGTAGGAGCTCTGGTGTGTAGTGGTTATGAATCGGGCTGTGAACCTCAAGGTCAGCAGTTCGAAACTACCAGCTGTTCCGCAGGAGAAAGATGAGGCTTCCTGCTCCCATAAAGATTTTCAGCCTCGGAAACCCTGTACAGGGTTTGTTACTAACCCTTGTTTCCTCTCCTGTGAAAATGAGAATGGTTGACAATAACCTTGTATATTTCACACATAAGTGAAATCACTGGTGTGGTTCCAGTTATGTGCCGTCAACCAGATTCTGATTCATGGTGACCCTGTATAGGATTTCCGAGGACCATCTGGTGGGTTTAAATGCCGACCTTGCGGTCCACAGTCCAGTGCTGATCCTATAGCGCTACAAGTAAATCCTTAACAATGTTTAGTCTGTTTGCTATTGGCAGTGCCCAGTATATACTGAAATTGTCACTGAATGTTGATTCTCTTCCATTGCAACCTTGTGTTCTGTCCATTTTAGCACACTGCCTTTAGGCAAACTTTTGAAAAAGTTTATTAAAAATAAAACTACTTAAACATTTATTTTTGAGATGTTACTGAAGCGATGACTTTTAGGCCTGATTTCTACGTTTTATTTGCAAAGTGTGCATGGTAAAGTTTAAATTTATCTGAAAGACCCAAGTGGAAAAAAGGAAATGTTTATCTCTTTGTTTTAAGAGGCTTAAAAAAGTAGGAGCATAGTGAGAGCAGTGGAGTCCTGGTGTGGCGCTGTAGGTTAATGTGCTGGACTCCAAAGTCGGTTTGAACAGCAAGGTCAGAGGTTCAAGCTCACCAGCCACTCCTCGGAAACCCTTTACAGGTTGCTATGAATCTGAACCTACTTGATGGCTCTTAATAACAACAATAAGAGCAATAGGATGCTCAGCAATTTTAAAAGGTTGAACATGAATTTATAAAAGAAGATCCTTATATCTTTTTTTGATACTACCCCTGCCAGTTGTATAATTTGCGAAAAGAGAACTCATCTCTTTTGTAAAAGTTTTCAAAGGTAAAGGAATTTTCAATACTTTAATAAAATCAAACTAAGATGTGGATTTGTAGTCTGCCAAGAAGATTCTGCCAGGGAGCAAATAGTGAGAGATGACAAGAACAGTGGAAATATGTGTCTCTTGAAAAGTTAATTATGAGGGAACTTAGTTGCATGAGTCTTTTATATCTACATTTTTTACAGGTATTTTTGCTACCCATATTTTTGGACTACCTATATCTGGGGGAATCTCTGGAGGCAAGGATCAGTGTTATTTACTCTCCAGACTTTGGTGCTTAACAGAATGATAAATTGTTATGCTAAAATGATGAAACAGTCGTAATGGAATACAAGAAATAGAATAAAATCCTGAATGTACATAAATGTGTGCTAAGTGTTGGTTAATGTTAAATGCCATCAAGTCAGTTCTGACTCATAGCAACTCTGTATAGGGCTTCTGAGGATCAACTGGTGAGCTTGAACTGCTTACTTTGCCCAACGTATTAACTCACAGAACCACACTGGGACTCCTAAACAAGTGTAGGTGGTATTAATATGAGTCTGTTGAAAATAGTGATAATGTTTTGAAGTTAAGACTTTGCTTTTCTAAGCTTCTTATGTTAGGCGTTTTGTTAAGGCAATTTAATGCAAGTATTCCCTTAGTGACAATATAGTAAACAGAAATGGAGCTGAACAAATGCTGAAAGATGTTTCCTTAGATGGAACAAATATGTAAACATATTTGTTTGCTAGCTTTAATTCATACCGTAAAATTCAAACATAAACTTGCTCTTTTCAGGTTGTAACTTCTTCAGGTAAACAAGAAGCTGAAAGAAAGTTTGAAACTCTGTTAAATCGCCTGTCACATCCTCCATCCTTCACAACTGTCAGAGTGAATACACATTTAGCTTCAGTACAACATGTGAAAAATCTGTTACTTGATGAACTTCAGAAGGTTTGTACATAATTTTTATGTCACGTACATAATTGCATTTGTGTAGTTTCTTAGTGTTACTGTAACAGAAATACCACAAATGGATGGCTTTAGAGAACAGAAATTTGCTTTCTCACTGTTTGTTGTTGGAAAGTACCTTTGAGTCAGTTCCAGCTCACAAGGACCCTATACAGGGTTTCTGAGGAGCAGCTGGTAGGTTTTAACTGCCAACCTTGTGGTTAGCAATCAGGTGTTTATCTTACCCTAGAAATTGATATTCAGAGCACTGACTCAAACTGAAGCCTCTTTTTGTTTGCTCTTGGTAAATTCCTTGTCTCTTTCACTTTTTTTCCTGGATTCCTAGGTCATTGCCTTATGGCATCAATCTCTCCCTATTTGTGCTTCCTTTTTCTGCTTCTAATATGGATCAGCACTGGACTGCACTTAATGATGACAGTCCCAAATGGGAATCCTGGTGTGTCGCTGTGGGTTAACACACTGGGCTGCAAAGTTGGTTTGAACTGCAAGATAAGCAGTTCAGGCTCACCAGCTGCTCCTCTGAAACTCTATACAGGGGTCACTATGGGTCGGAACTGACTTGAAGGCACTTCACAACAGCAGTGAGTCCCAAGTGGGATTACATGCACTGTTGTGCTTTCAAGTCTGTTCCTGCTCATAGAGACCCTGTATTGAGTTCCAGAGGAGTGACTAGTGAGTTTGAACCACGAGCCCTGTGTTCAGACCGAGCTTCAGGTCAAGTGCTTGCTTTATAATATGTTGTTTTCATTGAGTAGATTCTGCCTCTTGCCTAGCCCCTGTGTGTAGAGTTCAACTGTTACATAAAGGTTTTGGCGGTTGTCACCTTTTGGAAGTAGATTACCAGGTAGCTCTCTTTTTTGGGGGGGTGGGGGGTGGGGAAGCCCTGAAATGGCATCTTAGTTATTAGACTGCCACATATGAGTGAGAGTAGGATTATCTGCTTTTTTGTTTTTGTTTTTCTCTCATAAGCTTTTATTGTGAATTGAGTGATAGTTTACATGGGAGAGCATCAGCTTTACATTCATTCTATCATATTTTGTTTCATTTCAATGATTATAATCCCCTCTGTGCATCTTCATTCAACAGCATTTGCTTCCAATCCCTCTGTTTAAAAAAAAAAAATTTTTTTTTTTTGCATGTACACCAAAGCACTCAGGAATAGATAACCATTCAAATAACCAAAGAGTATATCCTGCATATCAGCCCCCTGGCTGTCAGCACACAGCCCCTCTCCCTCCTTGATCCTAGAGTCCCCAGCCGCTCCATCTCTCCCTCTCATCCTCGATGCCTCTGTCTCTGGCATCACTGCTTCTCTGCATAAGGTCCTGCACTCCAGTCTTCTCCCCTGATGGTCCCAGGGTCCTCTGCTCCTGGACTGCAAGATCAACTATGGCCCTCCTTTTGATACAAAATGTCTACCTTTACATTTGCAACATTCAAAATCAGTCCTGATAACAATTACTCACTATTGAACCACAAGAGTCTTATCCCGATCTCCTTTCACCAGTCCTATCTAGACAGGATGGAAACCCCTCAGTGGAGATTTTATGCCAGGTGTCTCTTGAACAAGGCACCTTTGGTGTTGTTAAGTACCAACTCATAGTGATCCTGTATAGGGTTTCCGAGGAGAGCTGGTGAGCTTGAACCGCTGATCTTTGGTTTCAAACTGACTTTGCAGTTCAGCGCATTAATTCGCAGTGCTACAAAGGTTCTAATTGCTGTAGTAGTTGAGTGCTTAACTGTTTGTACCACCCAGGGACTACTTCCATAGGTACAGGGCTTAGGATCTGTATGATCCTTGTGATTTTTAATGAAGGTAGGTATAATTCATTGTACTCAGTTTTGTTATTCCATAGAATATCTTACAAGGAACTCTTGTAGCATAGTGGTTACGAGTTGGGCTGCTTACCTCAAGGTCAGCAGTTTGAAACTACCAGCTGCTCTGCAGGAGAAAGATGAGGATTTCTGCTTCTGTAAAGATTTACAGCCTACGAAACTCTATGCAGAGTTGCTATGAGTCGGAATCCAACTCCATGGCACATCACCACCACCATCAAAATATCTTACAGTATTCAGGACCATCATTATAAATATCCATTTAAAGTTTTATTGTGAGCATAGTGCAGGACAGGACAATGTTTCATTCTGTTGTACATAGGGTTGATATGAGTCAGAACCAACTTGAGGGCACCTAACAACACCACTGTGGTAAAATATATATCACATAAAATTTGTCACTACATTTATGTATATAATTAAGTGGTGGGGGTAGTGTGTCATGGAGTTAGTTACGAATCATAGCGACCCTGCATAGGGTTTCCGTGGCTGTAAATCTTTATGGAAGCAGAAAGCCTCATCTTTCTCCTGTGTAATGACTGGTAGTTTTGAATGGCTGACCTCGAGTTTAGCAGCCCAGTTCATAACCAACCACTGTGCTACCAGACAACATGCAGTCATCACCACTATTTTTTTCTAAAACTCATTCATCACCCCAAATGGAAGCAGTGTACACGTTAAGCATTTACTTCCTGCCCTTTCTACCCCAGTTCATGGTAACCAGTAATTTGCTTTCTGTCTTTATGCATTTTCCTGTTTTGGATATTACATAAGTGTAATTATGCAGTATTTGTCCTTTTCTGACTTATTTCATGTAGCATGTTTTCAATGTTTAACCTTGTCACAGTGTATATTAGATTTTCATTCCTTTTTATAGCTAAATGGTAATTCCATTGCATGTGTATACTGCATTTTGTTTATTCATTTGTCTGTTGCTGGAAGTTTCATCTCTTGGCTATTGTGAGTAATGCTGTATTAAGTACTTTGTGCACAAATACCGATTTGATTCAACTTTTCAAGTCTTTCAGGTCTTGTAGGTGTATTATCCCCCCTCACTCCTTATTCCCATTGCCATCAAGTCCATTCTGACTCTTAGAAACCCTGTAGGAGAGAGTAGAATTGCTCCTTTGGGTTTCCAAGGCTGTAAATATTTATATGAGCAAAGAGTCTCATCTTTCTTCTAGGTGGGCTTGAGCCCCTGACTGTATGGTTAGCAGCTTAACCCACTGTGTCACCTGGGTCTTTTTACACTACAAGTCTCTTATTGAACCTCTACTTACGAGTCTTTTGGGAATATATGTAGGAGTAGAATTGCTGGGCCAGATGGTAGTTCTATTTTTAGGGTTTTGAGGAACTGCATATTGCCATCGACAGTGGCTGTAGCATGTTGTATTCCCGCCAACAATCAATAAGGGTTCCAGTCTCCTGACATTCTTGCACCATGTTTTTCTTTCTTTCTTTCTTTTTTTAACCTATCCTAGAGGGAGTCCTGGTGTGGCGCTGTAGGATAAGCTCTAAACTACAAGGTTGGTTTGAACTGCTAGGTCAATGGTTCAAACTCACCAACTGCTCCTTGGAAACCTTATATGGGGTTGCTGTGAGTCGGAACTGACTCGATGGCATTTAACAACAAAGAGGAGGTGAAATGGTAGCTTATGCGGTCTCCCATTCTTTAGATTGTCTTTCACATTGTTGATACGTCCTTTAATGCACAAAAGGTTTTTTATCACTTATTTTGATGAATTCCAGTTTTATCTATTTTTTCTTTTGCTGCTAATGTTTTTGGTACCATATCTAGGAATCCTTTGCCAAATACAAGGTTCTGAAGATTTACCCTTAATGTTTTTTTCTAGGAGTCTCATCATTTTAGTTCTTATCGTTAGACTGGTTAATTTTTGCATATGATATGAGTTAGGGTCCAACTTCATTCTTTTGCATCTAAGTATTTGGTTATCCAGTACCATTTACTCAGGAGATGAGAATATATTTTTGAAATGAAACAATACAAAGCATTTTTTGTTCACCCAGAAGTTTTGGTATAGCATTGCTCTTGTGTGTATGGAATAGTATTATAAAATAGCCTTTTATGAGTTTCAAATAGAAAATTTTTATTTGGTTTATTTTGTTTAACTTGTCTTTACTTTTTTGCTTTCATTAAATTTTTCATTCTGAGTTCTCACTGAGATTTGCCTCTAAAGAAAGGAAAGGTGGAGGAAAACCAATGTCTGTACAATTTATGTACTTCATAAAATGCATATAAGTATTAAATCTTTTATATTAAGTAGCTGTGGTTGATATAGCAGACCTGTTTCTACCTAATTTGTCTTTAAATTAAGGGCCAGGGGCAAATGTTGTTGCTTTAAGGCTACCATTTATATATCACAGCCTGTGATATTAGTTTATTCTACGTATGATATGCAGAAAGTTATCATTGGTATTGATTCATTTATTTCTTTTTATCTAATCTGAGTATGTTTATGGAGTGTTTTACCACTGTCTTCTTAGGAATAGGTCTATAGATTTCAAATTGTTGATAGAAGATCACATTATGAGAAGATCATGTAAACTACAAAAATTAATGAGTTGAAAAGGCTGTGTGCTGAGAGCTAGGAGGCAGGCTTGCAGAATGTGCCCCGTGGTTGTTCAAATGACTGTATATTCCTGAGTGTTTTTGTACATATCCCTCCCCCCCAAAAAAAAAACCCAAATCCCAGAGGGAATAGAAGCAAATACTGTTGAATGATGATGCACGGAGGAGATTGTAATCATTGTAATGAAACAATGAGTGTAAAACCGATGTCCTCCCATGTAAACTATCACTCAATTCACAATAGAAACTTTAAAAAAATTTAATGAGTTAATAATCCCTGGCATATATGGCAGAGACTTTTTCTCTAATATCTTCGTGTGGCTCTCTGAAAGGTACATAGTCCCTTCCATCCAGTGCACTGTGGGTGTATGCTTGTGCATACGTACATACCTGCTGCTGATGACTCGTGTGACCCTGTGCTTTACAGGGCAGAACAGAGTCCATAGGGCTTTTGGGGCTACAATCTTTATGAAGGCAGCTTGCTAAGCCTTTTTTTTTCTGTGACTCTGCTGGCTGGATATGAATCACCAATCTATAGGTTAGTAATCAAGTACAAACCTTTTGTACCACTGACCCTCTGCTGGTGAGTTGATTCCAACTCATGCAAACCCCAGATAGAGTTTCCAAGTCTGAGTCTTAAAGGGAGCAGAACTTCATCTTTCTCCCATGGAGTGGTTGGTGGGTTTGAACTCCCAACCTTGAGCTTGTAACGCAGCACATATCTTACAGTGCCAAGAAGTATCTTTATTTGTACCACCTAGGAATGGTTATCTGTGTGCAATGCCCAGTCATCTTTTGTCTGCGCTGTTCGTATGCTGCTACATATTTAGCAACCCATTTTTTTTCAGGTGAGGGGAGAGTAGTCCTGATTTGTAATATTTGCCAATTTCTGTTATATAAATACTTCCACTATGGCTGGAATTAAGGTTTCACTGTACTTATGGATTTAGGAAAAAATACACACAGTTGGCTTTTATGAGCTGGCTCTAGCCCACCACTGACCTTACTCCTGTTTCCAGTATGACAGCTAAGCAATTTGAAAATACTGAACCTCTGCTGAAAGCATCTACTGGTAGGACATGCGGTGTTGGTGCTGTGTATTAAATAGTATTTAGTTATGCATTTCATAACCTTCAGAGTTACAGTGGTCCTATGCTGAAACTTTTCTTAAGATAAACATTGTGTTTATAAAGGCAAGCAGTAAGCAAAGTTGAACTTTATAAAGAAGTCAGAATATTTCAGAATCAAATTATAGAGAAAACGTTGTTTGGAGGTTTTCTTTTATTCCTATTCATATATAATCCCATAGAATAAAGTGAAAGTGTCCCAAACCAAATTTCATGCTGTGGTTGATATTGATACTGAAAAGCGCCATAAATTGAACTTTTTCAGATATATTGATTTTTTTTTTTTTGCCTTACATGTTTATTTTTAACAGCAGTTTGAAGGATTGAGTGTTCCTATTCTTCAGCATCCAGACCTTCCGGAAATCCTACTCATTCCTGTTATTGGACCTCGGTTTGTAATTATTTCATTTTCAAATTGTGTCTTAAAAATTTGTCTGTTACAAGGATCTTTTTTACTGGTTGGTGACACTTTATAAAGTTTTCTACTGCTTGGGGTAGTTTCTGTCTTGTTAGCAACTTGTAGGCATGCACAGGTTCATTATATATGATGAACAATATTATTAAATCAGAACTAGACATGGGCCGGAATATCTTTTTTTAAATCTTTTTATTGTGAATTGAGTGAAGGTTTACATAGCAAATCCTCAGTTTTACATTCAACAAATCATATACTTGGTTTCATTTCAGTAGATTGTAATGCCCCTCCATGTAGCAACAGTATGGTCCAATGAAAACTCTGTAGTTCTTAGCAGTCCATTCCACAACGAATCATTGCGATGGTACAAGACCAGGCAGCACCGTTGCTCCATTGTGCAGGGATCAGCAGTTAGGCACTGACTCAACAACAGGTAACAACAACAACACACGTATAGATAGTTATTTTTCTTTTACTAGAAGGAAGTGTGTGAAAGGTATCATATACTCAACTGTTAACAGAATGGTTCTTTTAAGGAAGTGTGTAAAAGGTATAATATACTGAACTCTGTAACAGGATGGTTTGAGAAAAGGACTGAGTTAAGACAATTTTTACTTGTAACATTTCTGTTTTGTTATTAGCTATAAACATTAGGTAAGGAACCCAGGTAGCGTAGTACATTATGAGCAGGCCTGCTAACCTGAAGGACAGTAGTTATAATCTACAAGTCATTCCTCAGGACAAAGATGAGGCTTTCTGCTCCTGTAAAGATATACAGCTTCGGAAACCCTATACAGGGCCACTATGAGTTGGAACCGACTCGATGGCAGACTGCCACTATAAATACTATGTATGAAACTAAAAAATTGATTTTATAAGCTACTTATTTAGTTTTTAGGTGAAGTATACACATAAATAGATTTTGAGTATTAAGTTTGCTGAGTTTTGCTGAATGTATTTAACAACGAAGACAGGATCCACCCCTATGAAGATACAGAACATTTCCATGTTCCATCCACCCTGATTAAGATAGAGAACCTCAGACAATTCTGTTATACTGCCTTCTCCCTGATCAGAAAACTACTGTTCTTCTCATTTCTATCATCTTCTGTTTTATTTTGACCCCATCCGTTACAGTGTTGTTGTTAAGTGCCGTCGAGTCGATTCCGACCCATAGCAACCCTGTATAGGGTTTCCAAGGAGCAGCTGGTGAACTTGAACTGCTGACTTTGCAGTCACACGACTTTGCATTAAGTCTGACGCATTAACCCACAGTGCCACACCAGGACTCCTGTCAGTTACTATAGTATATCACAATTATAGGTCTTCTGATGTCATATTCCTTGTGAGGACATCATTGGCATGTTAAGTACAAAATTTGGTAATTTCTCATTCTTTTAAATATCCTTTAGTTTTAATTAATAATTGTTTAAAAGTTAAGAGTTTGGCCAGGACTTTTTCCTGTTTCTAAAAGTTAGACAAGCTTGTAAAAAAAAAAAAAATTAGAATTGTATATAAATATAAAGGAGCTTGGTAGTACAGTCAGTGGGCAACCAACTGCAAAGTGGGCAGTTCAAATCTACCAGTGCTCCAGGGGAGAAAGATGAGGTTGACTAATCCTGTAAAGAATACTCTCAGAAACTCTAAGGAGCAGTTCTTCTCTGTCCTGTAGGATCACTGTGAGTCAGAATCAGCTTGACAGAGGTTTGTGTCTTAGTGATCTAGTACTGTGGATGGTTTTAACAAACAAAAATTCATTCTCTTAGTGTAGCAGTCTCCGAATTCAGAATACCGTCTCTGGGAGAAAGGTCCTTGTTTCCTTTTAGCATCTATAGGCCCATCGTTACTTTAAGAGCTCCATGTGTCAATGGGCTCAGTATTTCCTGGATCTAGGAGCTTTGTAGGGCAGGAACCCCAAGTCCAAACAGCAGAGTTCCCTTCTGGATCTTCTTTCTTGGTGGTAGTGAGTCCCTCTCCCTCTGCATACATCTCTCTTCTTTTATCTCTTGTAAGATAAAAAGTGTTGCATATCACATATTGGTTTATTATATCGGAGCATATCATGGGGATCATCACATAACTGCCAAACCACTGATGATCATGGTCTTGCCAAGTTAGATTTTTTTGTTGTTGTTGTTAAGTGCTGTTAAGTCGATTCCAACCTATAGTGATCCTATATAAGGTTTCAGAGGAGCAGCTGGTGAGCATGAAGATTTTGGGAGGATATAATTTAGTCTATGACAGTGTGGTTTTGGGAATCTTCTATTACATCTCTCATCCCACTTCCTATGCCTGTTAACATTGAGTGTGAATTTTTCTAGACAGTGTCAGTGTTTATACTTGCTTTCCTGAATGCATGTGTGCATTCATGGGTACAAGTTTAGAATATATTTAGATCATACTATGTGTAATTGGGAATTTTGCTTTCCTTTTAATTAAGAAAATATTGTGGCCCTCTTTCCAAGATTTTCAATAATTATACTCATATTTGGTGCTATTTCATTCTTTCTAATAACATTTCATTCTTTCTAGTAACAATTATATTTTCTGTCATTGACCTCAATTATATTTTTTAGTCATGTAAGGAGCTCTGATAGCATAGTGGTTACGAATTGGGCTGTGAACCACAAGGTCAGCAGTTCGAAACTACCAGCTTTTCCATGGGAGAAAGATGAGGCTTTCTGCTCCCGTAAAGATTTGCAGCCTCGGAAACCCTGTACAGGGTCGCTATGAGTTGGAACTGACTCCATGGCACATCACCACCACCACCACAGGATTAATAAACATTTCTTTTCTTCACTTTGTCATTATTACCAGAAATAATTCAGTCAGTAGTCTTAGTATTTCTTAGTGCACTGGAGAAATCATATCTGTAATATAAATTGCTAAGACATGAAATTGCTGGTACAAAGATCATTCTTTTTAGTTTGAGGTATATTGTCAGATTGCTTTCTAAAGAAAATTTCATAGTAAATGTTCCCAACAATGTATGGGAGATTCTTATTTTTCCATTCTTGCCAAATCAGTACTGGCCATTTTAATTATTTTACAAGTATTTAAATGATAATAACTTTTAATTATTTTTTACTTACTTTTATATTAATAATCTCTTTTCCCTAGTCTTTGTTATGATTATTTAGACTATTCATTTAAAATTTGCTGTTGTTCGGTGCCATTGGGTCTATTTTGAATGATAGCAAACCCATGTGATGAGCATAACTATCCCACAGGGTTTTCCAGGCTGTTATCTTTACAGCAACAGATCTTCAGGTCTTTCCACCATGAAACTGCTGTTAGTTTCAAACCATTAACCTTTCAATTAGTAGCTGAGTGCTTAAACATTGCACCACCAGGGCGCCTTATTAGCAAATGACAAAAACACAAATGGTAGGTTACTGCAGGAAAAGTATATATATAAAAAAAAAATCATTTAAAATTGTTGATCAACGTGGCGGTGTAGATTTTTATGGAAGCAGAAAACCATCTATTTCCTGAGGAATAGCTGGTGGATTTGAACTGTTTTGTGCTTAGCAGTCCAGCTTGTAACTCACTGCATTACCCAGGCTCCTTGTAGGTCAACATACATATTATTAATTCCTAAAAGGAACAATTCATTAATGTCTGAAACACACCTGGCTTATTAAATTGACAAGTTTTTGTAACCTCATCATCGCGCTCAGCATCTGTTGACTTTGCACTATACAAACGAGGCTATTTGCACACTGAAATTTCCTCCATCATTTTCACCAGCCAGTTTTTATTTGCTGTGTTAATTTTAAACTATTGTAAGGATTTAATAAACATTAACATTTTAAAGCATAATTCAGAGGGAGTCAGTGCTTATTTGTAATCCTTTATGGCACAGGTTGTTTCTGAATTCTTTATCTTGATTAATCTCCATGAGGAGTGTGGCGCTATGGAGTAAGTACTTGAATGCTAACTGGAAGGTTGGCTGTTTAAAACCACCAACCATTCCTTTGAAACCCTATTCAAGGTTGCTGTGAGTTGGAACTGACGTGACAGCACTTAACAACAATAACAAGCAGTCACTTAGCAGGGTCACAGCAGCCTGCCCTACCCCAAAGTACATCTTGTATGTGTCGTGTTCGATTTCTTGCTTGAGAGTATCTGCCTGTTGCCTTTATATATAAATAATTTGGCTAAGTATAATAGGTTCTGGTCACATATGTCTTTGAGCACTTTGCAGCCATTCACTTCAAATTTTGTTATGGAGAATTCTTAGGCAAAACAACAAAAAATCCACCTCTAAATATAGTGTATTCTCATAATTCATAATACTAATGTTTTGTAAAATTGCAGCTAACACTGAATTAGTGAACACTGACCCATTACTGTAGAGGAACTACAGGATTAAGTCCCTTGTTAATAACATTTTATCAGTTAGTCAGTATGTAACCTGTTTCAAAAGTATTCATGTTAAAGACACCTTGTTATATCTTGTTGATTCACTAGTATTGAACTTATAACCAACAGCACTGCAACTCAGGCCAAATATGAAGGAAGCTTATCTAACACACGTGTGCTTAGAAACAGTAGACAGCACTTCACTTGGGGACCATGTAAAACAACAACATTAACAAAAACACAAAAGTGACAAAAACGTGACACTAAGTAGATTTCAGAAAGTACACGTATTTATAGTATGAAAGTTGAAACAAGGCAGTCTTTGGCTGGAAATGTGCTTTTCTGGTAGCTCAAAATTTTTGTTATTGTGCACATTGTTAGGGAAATGAAACTGAAATCTACTGACAATTCAGAAAATCTTTCCACAAAGTAGAAGAGAAAGAAAAACCATTTTATTGGTAACCATTACACTGTGAAACTTATGTGCTTTATGGGAAATCTGCTGAAGAGATTGCAAAGACAGAAAGGAATTTTATTCTCTTATGTAGCCAAACATGAATAATTTCATACTGTACTCAAGATACATAGTAACTAGTTTTCAAGTAAGAGAG